CATCACTAATTGATGGATGTCTAAAATATAAAAATAAGGAGAAGCCTAAAACAGGCCCGTGTCTAAACTATGATGTGAAAATTGGCCTGAAGCCCGACCCTAGGGGCGTAAAAAAAGTCGGGGTCCGTCGGGCACGGCATGACATGCAGGGCTCTAGTTTCTGGTTCTGTTGACACATGTTGACTCACGTGAGCCGAAAATAGACTAATATGTATATGGTGTAAATATTTTAATGTTGTGTATAAACTATATTTATTTTTACTTGTACATGTTAAAGAAATAAAAAAATAATAAAAAAAATAAAACTGTAATACTACACTGTATAGCCATCGCATAGCCTTTTATATAAATATACAGGCTGTAATATCTAGATGGTGAAACAATACATGATTTTTAATCGTTTCAAATAGTTTTTACTATAGTTTTTATTAGTTTTAATTTTAAAGTCATAGTTAAATAAAAGTAGGCTACTTAGATATCGCTTTTTTGACTTATTTACATATGTAACTTGAAGTAATCCAAAAGTAATCAGATTACATTACTTTTATATTGTGGTACTTGGATTACGTTACTGAATACTTTTTTAATGAAGTAATTTGTAACTGTAACGGAATACATTTTAAAAGTAACCACTTCCATTTGGAATTCGCCCAGTAATAATAGCATGTGCAGTGGCAGCAGCGGCAGCCTCCCCCAGGTCCTAATGCCCATTCGGTAAGTAGTTTTAATTCCGTAGGGGGCGCTGTTGGCCTACTTATAATAAAATGAAAGCAAATACACAAATAACATTTAGACTGTGTTTCTGATTAAATAAAGCAGTAATTGATGTAATAAAATAATGAGTATGTTTTGATTTAAAGGTCAGAAGCTATATCTTACATGAAAAAAAAATCACAAACATGACACTTGTAAATTAAATAATTTTATACATACTGATTTATTATTTTTTATTTTTTAAACACATCATAAGCTCTAAAAGATTTTCAGAGTTTTTACAAATCTTTTGCTTTATACAATCTACAAATGTTAAATCTTAAAATTAAATGTTAGTGTTAACACTGCATCTTTCTGGGGGGGAAAATGCAGCGATTGATATATAGTTTATTTATAGCTATTTTCAAAGCTTCAATGTACTGTCAAAAAACCTTCATTATTGTTTATTTAATTCTAACAAATAAGTTCTTGTTAAAAACTAACCAAAATTAAAAATATTTTGCTTATAATTTCTGCGCAGGAGAGACTTGGTGTTGTTTCCAAACAAAAGGAAATATATCGGTATCGGCCAAAATAGTTTAAAAATATCAGCATATCGGATATCGGCAAAAATCCAATATCGTGCATCCCTACCAAGAAAATGTATAAAATGCAAAATAAGTCCATTTTGAATGCATGCTGACTTGAAAGAGATCTTCTGATCTTGCCTGAAAGGCTTTGCGTGGCTAAATAGCCAAAAGAGTAGTGTGAGAGAGGCATAATCAGGCCAAGAAAATGTGTTTAGCATCTACTCTAGTTCCTCCTAAAAGGAGATGTGAGCAGTAGACCACAGGAATCCTGAGCTGACCATCTTTTCTAAGTCAGCATGGGAATGTATCTTCACGTAAGTGGGCGGAAGGAAGAGGCCTCTTGAAAACCACCGTGACCTTCATTAGGACCACAGTCAGACGCAGGAGAACCGGGCAAAAAGTTACCATGATATATTAGTAGACTTTTGTGATTAGACAGCATTTTTAGTCCATACATCCATCCATCCACCCACCTACCTATCATATTTAACATACATTTAAAAAAAAAAAAACCTACAAATAAATGTATATGATTTATATGTAATTTATAATTGTATAAATTATAAAAATGAGTAAAAAAGGAAAGGTAATTTAAAACTACATATAACTTTTATAAAAAAAATAATAATTGACAATGCATTACACTGTAATCACTGTACAGTTTTATTTTTCTGTCTGAACATCACTATTGATATTAATTAAAGTATAACATCTGGAGGCATTACATAAGAATTTTAGGGGAAATGTGCATTAATTTCACAAAAACAATGTCACATAAGTTAGAACTAGTTACAACCACATAAAACCAGTTTGTGCTTGATTTTTTGCTTCTAATCAACATGGTTATGTTGGTCCACCAACACCAAACTTCCTCTAATTACCAGTACTAACCCTAACCGTAATCTAATTTGCCACAGAAAATTCCTAGCTCTTCAGATGCCCGCAGATCATTCCAGTAGCGTGCTTTGAAGTGTAGCATTTCTCTCATGTGCTGTCAATGCTGGCATTCATACAGATTATCCACGCTCCACTATTTGGCCTTGTCTGTCACTAATGCAGACTTTAGAGCCTAACATCATCACATATGTTGTCAAAGAGCCTTTGTGTGTTGTGGAACCCAGGGAGCCTTCATCCACTGATCTGACCTGACCTCTCTGTTTGTTTTCCCCTTGTCCAAACCCTTAGTCACCCACCACGATCCTGAGAACACCTTCAACAGTATTATCGAGCCGCCCTCCGTGGTGGACCAGCCTTGTCCATCATGGTCATCCCAGGAGTCCTTCACTTCCTTCGAGACGAGCGAAGATGTGCCTGTTTACTGCGTACCCCACGAAGGTGAGCGGGAACTAGTGCAGATAAGCCATCTGTTTGTGCAACATGAAAAACAGATAATGGAGTTAAGAAATCTCCAGACAATTTTATTAAATGACCCCATTCTGTGGTAAACGGTTGCCCTCTGGGTGTGTATATCACGTGCGTTGAGATAATACAAACAGTAAATGCTATAAATGGCCAAGTCAGCAGATTCAGCACTTTCAGGATGTGACTCAGGATTTTCTGCATAAACTGAGGTGTGGGAGATTGCTGGAAAACTGTTTAATCGTAATGTACAGTTTTAGTGTTTCCTAAAGTATGCAATATTCTTTAGATGTCCTTATTTTATTCTAGATGTCTCTATAATAATCTATGCTCGGTTAGTTGTTTTAAAAAAACATTTCAGTACAGTCAAAGTGTACTAGCTTAAGACTTACTGAATGATGCACTCTATATACTGTCACTGCAAAATAACTATGTTCAGAAATGATCAGGAAAGAAGGGATATGTTTACGTATATGTATGTATGTATATATATATATATATATATATGTGTACAGGTGCATCTCAATAAATTAGAATGTTGTGGAAAAGTTCATTTATTTCAGTAATATATATATATATATATATATATATATGTATATACATATATGTACACACACACACACACAGTTGCGGTCAAAATTATACATACAATTTGCAGTATCTCCAAAATGTTATTTTACCAAAAACAAAAGAGGAATCAAACAAAATTAATGTTCTTTTTTATTTTGCTTGAAATGCAAAAATTACCAAAAAAATGACAGTTTTGTACTAAATATATATTTTTTTAATTTTAAAAGTAAAACAGAATAAGAAATTATGGTAATGACATCTTTATTTTACGTTAATAATGTGTAATTTGCATTTTAGAAACAATATCTCCAGGTATTTTGTGTATTGTTTGCTATACCAAATAAAACAAATCTAAATAAAGTAGGGCTGTCATCATTAACGCGTTAACGCATGCGATTAATTTTACAATCCTTAACGCGTTAAAATAATTTAACGCAATTAACGCAAAATTACTGAAGCACAATTTCTATGCTAACCCTTTAGCCCAATTTTACTACTCTGCTTGCGATTAGATCATTTTAAGCCGCTAAACTCCGGGAAAGTATAAAGGAAACCAGGCTGATTACATCAGAGATTGCAGAGAGAACAGAGACTCGAGTTGCGTTTTAAGTGAATTATTCATTCCAGTGTGTTTCGCTTTAAAACATGAGCTCTGTCATATTCTGTGAAGAGCGCGAGCCCTCACGCGTCACACGTGCTGTGTGAAGTACAGACCGAACGGATTGTCAACGCATCCCATCGCTGTATGGCCAGATGAGACGCAAACTATGGTTTCTCGACTGGATAACCAGTCTCGCTAGTAAAGTTTTGATGGATGAAGACTGCAATCAAGGTA